AAAACAAATTACTAAAAAACTTTTTTTGTGTAAATGATTACAGTAATTAGGGACAATTTTCTTACCTACTAAATGTTTACAGCATATCTATTTATGTGGATTTTAAAATGTTTTAATAAAAGTTCATAAAATATCACTACACATAGCAAAACAATAGAAATAAAATTAGCTATATTTTCAAATAAAACTATTAAAATCTAATTTATAGAATCAGACATATGTTTTGAATGACTTTCCAATATTGTTATAAAACAAATATTTTTTATAAAACGTATGATAGAGATTTTTATATCAGTTACCATGGTAATAAATAGTAGTGCACACGAGTTATCAATGCACATAAATTATCTATTATTGAGTCACAATTAAAGTAAATGTTAGCGATTTGTTATTGCATAATATTTATAAAAATTTTCAATACATAATGTAATTTATTAATCTCATGAATAAACTTATAAACTATAAAAGTCCTAAAAATATAAATTAATTGTAGTATTAATTATATTAAAATTATAAACCACATTATAAATTAAAAATAAGAACTATTCAAAGTAGGAATTTGAATTTAATAATAATTTTTAAATACTTTATACAGTAATATATAAATGGTATATAAATTTTCAATTTAAAGGGGCAATATAAAATTAATTTTTAGAATAACTTAATATAAATACAGTATCATAAAATAAGGTTAGTACGTAAGACATTTTAAAAATAATGATATATATCGGGTATCCCAACGCAAACCAACTACATTTAATTAAAATTAAAAATATTAATTGTTACATTATACTAACAAAATCTATACAAAAATGTTGGAAATATATTAGAATTTTATGCTGCATTTATAACAAATCCATAATTGCCTACCCTGTTCATAATTTTAGTTTTACTGCATGTATGTCTTTTTTATGCATAAAAATTGCGAATTTCTTACAGCGCTATGATGCGAGTATGCAGTGATAGTTGTAACAACTATCACTGCATACTCGCATCATAGCGCTGTAAGAAATTCGCAATTTTTATGCATAAAAAAGACATACATGCAGTAAAACTAAAATTATGAACAGGGTAGGCAATTATGGATTTGTTATAAATTCAGCATAAAATTCTAATATATTTCCAACATTTTTGTATAGATTTTGTTAGTATAATGTAACAATTAATATTTTTAATTTTAATTAAATGTAGTTGGTTTGCGTTGGGATACCCGATATATTTATATATCATTATTTTTTAAATGTCTTACGTACTAACCTTATTTTATGATATTTATATTAAGTTATTCTAAAAATTAATTTTATATTGCCACTTTAAATTGAAAATCTATATACCAATTATAAATTATAAAGTATTTAAAAATTATTATTAAATTCAAATTCCTATTTTGAATAGTTCTTATTTTTAATTTATAATGTGATTTATAATCTTAATATAATTAATACTACAATTAATTTATATTTTTAGGTCTTTTATAGTTTATAAGTTTATTCATGACATTAATAAATTACATTATGTATTGAAAATTTGTATAAATCTTATGCAATAACAAATCGCTAACATTTACTTTAATTGTGACTCAATAATAGATAATTTATGTGCATTGATAACTCGTGTGCACTACTATTTATTACCATGGTAACTGATATAAAAATCCCTATCATACGTTTTATAAAAAATATTTGTTTTATAACAATATTGGAAAGTCATTGAAAACATATGTCTGATTCTATAAATTAGATTTTAATAGTTTTATTTGAAAATATAGCTAATTTTATTTCTATTGTTTTGCTATGTGTTGTGATATTTGATGAACTTTTATTAAAACATTTTAAAATCCACATAAATAGATATGCTGTAAACATTTAGTAGGTAAGAAAATTGTCCCTAATTACTGTAATCATTTACACAAAAAAAGTTTTTTAGTAATTTGTTTTTTAACTGAAAGACATGAATATCGATGCAAACGAATACAACAAATCAAATGAATCTCAAGTCAGGGATGGAAAGGCACTCATCGACACTATTGTCTCTCAAAACCCTAATGAGTATAAAAAATATTTAAATAAAATATAGTTTTCATTTTAAAATAAAATACTTTGCCAGAGATTATGACATTATTTTGGACATCGGGTGCGGAACAGGAAATGTGACCAAATTATTGGCCGATGTGTTCAAAGTGAAACAAATCATTGGCATCGATGTCGACAAACAAATGATTGATTTTGCAAATGAAAACAATTGCAACCAAATTATCACATATTATGTACAGGACTTTGGGCTGACATGGGATGGATTGAGTCCGCAAATGCGGGAACTGGAGGGCAAAGTGTCACTCATTTTCTCCAATCATTGCTTTCATTTGATTGAAAATAAGAAAAATATTGTTCAAAATTTGAACAGACTTTTGAAAACTTGTGGCAAAATATATGTGAATATTGGCTGGAATTCCGATCTGTATATGAATTCCCGTATGAATGAGATGACGGAACTGGATGTCTGGGAGGATTTATTCAATTCACATAACTTTCAGATTATTTCACACGAGTTTTGTCTTAAAGACAATGTTTATGAACTGAACGCTTTTAAACAAAGTATTTCAAGTTTTTCTTATTTATTTAAAATTAGCTAAAAATTAATCTAAAATGTTGTTTAGGTTTAAGTGGTTTAAAACATTCATTAGTGGACAGTAAGGATGAAAAATTGGATCAATTGTTTGCAAATGTATTATCAAAATGTGATCAGTTTCTGGACATCGATTCTGGGAAAACAATGATTTCATTTAAATATGGATTAATACAGTCTGTGATTCAAAAAATTAAATAAATAATTATTAAGATTATATCATATACCAGTAATTTATATGCAAAACTCAAAGTCCACTATTTATTGATTAATAAAATAAAGTTTATATGCATTTATTAAATTATCATTTTTTGTTATAATTTATTGATTTTAAATATGCCATATGTTTTTTATAAATCCAATATTTATAATGTTTATAATATATTGTATTGTAAAGTGAAATTATTATGTAAAACTATATTTATAATAAAATATTTTACAATGTTATTACAAACATTATTATTTGAATTCTAGGTAAAATATTATTTTGCGTTTAATATAAATTTAAAACAATAAAACTATAACTTATCTCCTAATCAGCGGTCATTACATGCAATAAGTTTGTCGACAAAACTGACAAAGAATTTCTGGACGAATATCTGAGTGTTCACAACAAATACAGAGCCAAACATAAGTCACCGGCACTTGCAATGGACAGTAAGGTATAACTTAACAAAAATATTATATTAATTTTACATTTTGATAAATCTAATAAATATATCTAAGTTGGTAAAGGAGTCTAAATCACGTTGCCTTGATTATGGGAAAGGCATGGAATCGGTGGTCCCGAGTAACAATTATACGGAAAATTTTGGCGCAGTTTCGGGTCAGGATAAAAGTGCACCTTGCACACTTATGGTCGACATGTGGTAGGTTTACATTTCGTAGCGCACATAATTATTTAATTTGAGTTTGTATTACAATAATTAACAAATCTTTGTTGTATTACAGGTATGACCAGAAAAAGGAATATAATTTTAAGAAAGGTGGTTTTACTTGAGATACGGGCCTTTTCACAGCAATGATATGGAAAGGTAGCAATTGCGGTAGGCAGTGCTCGTTGTGTTGATGGACCTAATAAAGCTACAAACGTTGCTTGTAATTACTTGCCGATGGGTAATATAGCTAAGAAAAATGGGGTCAAAACTGGAAAGTTCTTCAAAGCAAATATATTTCCAGACAAATAATTCATTACAAAATTCAAAATACAAATACAAAATTCATTATAATATTAATATAAAGTGTCTTTTTTTATTAATTCATTTATAGTCAAATAAATACAGTACTATACATTATTATATAGATGGGTCACTATATGACAATTATTTTCCGATCGGTACTATCAATACATTATAAATAACAATAAGGTGTCAAAACCGATGAGTTCATGTATTTGCAGAATATTAATAATGAATTGATTCAAATAAAAAATTAATTATTTTTATAATAATGTTTTATTTTTATTTAACATTATCAATTTATTATTTAAAGGGTTAGAATTAAGGTTTTGTTTTCAATAACTTATTTTATTTACCGAATACCTCAAAGATTAACATCAAATAATAGTTTAGCCTAACGTTTTTATTTATATTTAAGCGGTGCTTTTCATACTAAATTTATTTTATAAAAATAGTAAATTAGCAAGGAAGCATTGGTGCTCGAAGTACACCACCATCGACCATCAAAATGGCACCCGTTATGAATGAGGCGACCGGTGAGCACAGGTATGCCACGGCTTCCGACACATCTTCCGGTTCACCGATACGTCTCAGCGGATAGTTATCCTGACAGTGCTTTTCAACTGTATTCACATAATCTTTATTTCCAGTCACTGTTTCCCAGATTGGCGTACGAATAGCCGCAGGACTTGAATTTGAAATTATAATACATTTTAATAATTTGTTTCATAACAAGAGTATAATATTCATGACTTACTTAACACTATTCACACGAATTCCTTTGGGTCCCAACTCTAAACATTTGGTAAACATATCCAGGGCACATTTCGACATACCGTATGCCATTATCCATTCAGACTATAATGTTGGATATTTATAAAAATTATCCGTAATATAATATTTAAACAATTTTAGATTATTTATTATTTACGGGTTTATTTACGCCAACACTTGAGATGTTAATAATGTTTCCTTTGGTTGACTCGAGATATGGAACCACTAATTGAGTCAATACTTGAATACT